TAGCTTGATGTTTACTATCTTCTTGCCTGACAGTTTGCTGCTTGCTTCCTCTCTGGTTGTCCTCTTCTTTCTTTAAAATACATGACTGTTTTACTTTAGTGAAATACCTCTTGGCATCTATCAAGTTACAGGGTCCCCAAATGATCGACTCTCCTTCCTTTTTAATTTAACATAACTACTGCAAAATCCTTTTGTTTGTTTTAGCATTTTTCCTGCAACTGAACTGCTTCTCAACTTAATTTTTCTACTAAACATTCATGTTAATTTCACAGTTTTGTTTTTATGCTGCTTTCATATTTTAAAATGATTCAGAAACGCTCACAGTGAGGACCCACTGACTCCTTTGTATTCATTTATCATGAAAATACCTTCTAACTTTATGGTTTCTTGTAAACCAGGTTTCTTTTGAGATTGCCAGACATGATCATGAAATCATCCTTGTTTTCCTGACATTTTATTTTTATCTCTACCTTCCTAATGTTTAAGATACCTGTTTGACTGAGTTCATTGTGTCCCATTCTAAAACTAAGAAATTTTACAAGGTTTATATCACTTTCAAATCCTAACCAATTCAGCCTTGTTAATAAAAATCAGTGATATTGAGTGGGGCATGATGGTACATGCTTATAATCCCATGAATCAGGCTGAAACAGTAGGCCAGCCTGGCTTAAATAGTGAAAACCTATCTCAAAACAAAAACAAAGAATTAGTGATACCGTAAATTATCCTAATTCTGCTTCGTTGTCAATAGGGATTCAGAAGAATATTAATTCTTTACTACCCATGAGTAGTAAATGATTTTTACCTTTCTCTTTTCAGAAAATAATTTCCACATCTAGAGTGGAATTTTGCTGCTTCTGCTTTCACACACAGGGGTCTGTGCTCCATGTTGCTTTTTGACCTACTAAAGGCAATTATAAAAGTATAGCAGGACTGGGGTTATTGCTCATGGATAGAGTGCTTGCCTAATACTGCCACAAAAAAAGTGAAGGTTTGCCACTCCTGAGGGCACCACTGCTGATGGTTTGGCTGTGTGTCCTTGCACTAAAGAGCTCACTTTGCCTCCTGCTTGTGTCACCCTTTCCAGTCACCAACATAACTTTTCTTAGCCTCTGTTCATCTTACATAACTAGCTCATTGAGTGTTTTTACTAAAATAAAAAGCATAGTTGCATCCTTCTGAACTTTTGTGGCTTCTGTGGTTTCATCAGGAACAAGTAAGAGGAGATAGGGGAGAAGCCAGTACAATTGAATCTGAAAACTCCAGTTTGGAAGAGAGTGAAATTCATCACAGTGAGACCAACTGCCTCCCAGGCACAGATTCCCTCTCATTTAGTGGAGATTCCACTAGCAATGAGGATGACAGTGAGTATGAGGACTGTCTGGAGGAAGAGGAGGAAGATTGGCAGACGTGCTCAGAAGAAGACAACAACCCTGATGACAAGGCCTGTGGTGGGGACTGGGAGGAAAGCTGTACTGTGGATTCCAAGGCTAAAGAAAGGAAAACCCCACAAAGGAGGAAAATACACAATTTTAGCCACCTAGTATCGAAGCAGGAATTACTGGAGCTTTTTAAGCAGCTACACACTGGGAAGAAGATGAAAGAAGGGCAACTTACTATTGGACTGGTAAGATGAAGTATGTTGTAAAACACACCATACGAGGGCCTTTATTCACCATCCTGTGGTAGCTATACAAGGACACCAGAGAGCAATCAGGTTTCTGACATCAGGAGGCAGTGTGATGGGTAGAGCCTAACTCAAAACACAAACTTCCTCAAGGTTTATAGTGGTTACATACTTATTCATATTTAGTATGTTCTCCAGTCTCCTTCCGGTTCAGCTCTTGTTCTGTCAGTTGCCAAGAAAGCTTCCAAAACAGGAGAGTAAGAGAACTTCTAGTATAGTGTTCTTTTGGCATCCTGCCAACTAACATAGCAAATGATTCAGATGCATGTTAGGGGGAATCCCAATATCTTGGCCAGGTAAACTATGACAGACGCTTTCATTACATAAACACTACATAGCAAATAGGAGAAAGTAGATCACATCCCAACTATGTATACCCTTCCAAAAGTACCTGTGGAAGTCCCCACACAAGGGGATACAGTGTGGCTCCAGATGGCTTAGCTAAGGAATTGTAAGATGTTAGAGAAGGGATTTATTGTAAAGAACTTCCATCCAGGAGAATGAAATAGAGTGGAGGAAAGGAGGAGGTCACTGCAGGTTTAAAAATCTCTGCAGTTATAAGCCAAGTATAACTAATCCTAATTATTTTTGAGCCTCCTCCCCTTCCGCCCTTACCTCCCACCAAAAAAAAAAAACAAAAACCCTATTTAAAATGACTAAAATAGATTGACATTATTTTAGTGCACTAGTTAAAAGAATGTGTCTGGAGTCAGGCAGACTTTGATGTATTTTGCATTATAACTAACTTGAGATGAGCATTGGGAAAGTTACTTAATTTCTCTCAGCTTTTCATTCTCTGTTGTTCATATTGTCCTATTGCTAAAAGTTCATTTCCACATGCATCAAAAAGTCCACCTTCTCTGTTAAGTTTCTTTCATTTAGAAACAATAAGCAGCCTCCCTTAACTTTCTAAATGTCTCACTTTAGAAATCCTGAGAAATCTTAATTTACTACAAATATCTATTGACTACCTGCCACATGCCCAGTAGTTTTCTAAATTTAAAATGCTTGTATTTGCAGTTATTAATGTCTTTCTGATGCTCAGCTTCCCCCCTTATGGAAGTTGCAACAAAAAACGTATATTTGAACTGTTCATCACTGGAGATGGGTCTGAATAAATGTACCCACTCCAAGCAAGGTCAATAAACTCACTGAGCACCTATTTCAAATACTCTTCCAGAGTAACCAGAAGCTTATTCTACCCTTGCCACCACTTGCATACTATCTGGGTCTTTCATAGCTGTATTGTGGCTCCTGGTAACTGCTGATTCTCTTGTAGGTGGGTTACCCTAATGTTGGTAAGAGTTCAACCATCAACACCATCATGGGCAACAAGAAAGTATCTGTGTCTGCCACACCCGGTCACACCAAGCATTTCCAGGTATTTCTATAGCTCTTTGCCAGTCATGCTGCTGCTCTTTCCTGTCATCTGCCATATGCCCAATTTGAACTTCTCATTTGTCTCTCAGACTCTCTATGTGGAGCCTGGCCTCTGCTTATGTGACTGCCCTGGCCTGGTGATGCCATCCTTTGTGTCTACCAAGGCAGAGATGACTTGCAATGGAATTCTACCAATTGACCAGATGAGAGATCATGTCCCACCTGTATCACTAATATCCTTTGTTTTGAGCACACTCTGGTGGTTCTGTATGTGTTAGAGATTCAAGGTTTTGTGGGGTGTTGCCTTCCAACAGCATTTCAGTGATTCAGATCTGATACTTTATGAATGGAGAAACTAAAATACTAATGACCTGCATAAGCTTCCACAGTGAGACAGCATCAGGACTTCAGATTTAGAATCTTGTCTTCTGATTTCAGCAGTGTGACTAGTATAAATGGAAGAGCAGCCTTCACATTCTCTGCCCAAGTTGCAGACCTGGGTAATATACCATCTAACTATTAGAGTGACCTTGGAAAACTTGCTAACCTTGCTTAAAATATGTTCCCTTTTGTATAAAATGGGGATATCTACCTCACAGTTGATTGTATTTAATCATTATAACTAACATTTATTGGCTGCTTGCTTTTTGCTTTTCTAATGTTTACTAAGTAATATTTAATGCTTGAAAAATAACCTTGAGGTAGATATTGCTGTTATTCCCATTTTCTTACACTTGAGGAAACTGAGACAGAAAAGGAAAGCACTCTTAAAATCTGTGCATGGTCTTAAGATTTTACCCTACTCAAAAGTTAACAGGCCAGTCTGTTACTGTTTCGTGCATGGGTGCTGATAGACAACAGGAGATTTAAACTGTGTAACAGGCACGCTAGCCAGTTAGCTTGTGAGGAGGGTAAAATTCCATATCCTACCCACTTCTCAGCAAGATCCTCAATGACTGTTTAAGGCTGCTTTTTATTCCTAATATGTTCTCTTTTTTTCTAAGAAATGATGAGTAAGAATTAATTTGTCCATGCTCATGCTAAAAAGAATAATATATCGGTAAAAAGGAATACTAATAATTGTTAAAAGCAATTCACTACCTCTATATATAGTGACCTGAGTAAACCTCAAAACAATGCAAACACATAAACAGCATGGCACCATTTTTATGAATTTTTAATATCATGAAACATAGTACCTTGTATTCATAAGTGCATATATGTGTGTGAAAGTGTGCTAAGTGGACCAAAGGATGCACCACAGAGATTAGTATGAAGGTTTAAAAGCTTACATGGTTTAATATGTAATAGGTGACTTTGTTACTCTCACTAGTTGGGAACATAGATATTCATGCTTTTCTGTATTTTTTGTTTCTCTGTAAATAATCAGGCATGTATTGAGCATTTACTGTAATCAGATATGGTTAGGTACTGTGGAGGATACAGGCATAAGTCAGTCAGATCCTGCCTTTGAAGGAGCATCATTGGGGGATGTGAAGCATGTATATGAGTAACTAGTACAAGGTAGAGTCTTGTAAGTGGTTTAAGAAAAGTACAGATAAACTGTGGCAGATTAGGCAAAGAAGGAAAAGTAATCTTGCATATTTTGCATAGCTTTAGGAATTAGAAAGATACTCTGCTTTGTATCTAAGTTAGGATTATCTCACAGTTGTAATTTATAATCTTTGTTGGTGGTTCTGGGATTTGAACTTGGGGCTTTGTACTGGCTAAGCAGACGCTCTACTGCTTGAACTACACCTCCAGCAATAATCTTGTTCATTAAGGTCTGTTTTAAAGATAATACTATTTAACAAATTCATTTGGAAGTGTATCATTGTGCATAAAACTTTGTTTAAAAGAAAAAGAAACTATACTCTTCATTTAGATAGGAGAAAGAGCCATAGAAATAGGAAGTGCCATGTTTTTAGCAGCATGGTTTAGATGGGGAGAGTAGATTTCTTGACGAATTTACGTTTGCCAGAATATTCCACGACATGTTTTAGAAGCTACCTATGGCATTAATATCATAAAGCCTAGAGAAGATGAAGATCCCCATCGACCTCCATCCTCAGAAGAACTGTTGACAGCTTATGGATGTGAGTTGCATGTTATTTTAAAACAGGAGCAAAAAATACCAATATAGTTACTTAAGAGAAATAACAGAGAAATTTGGGGGAGGGGTAAGCATACACTGAACCAGTGAGCCGTACCCCCAGCTATTTTATCCTTTAATATTGCAAATACTGTTTTTTAGGCTGGAGGCATGGCTCAAATGGTAGAGCATCTGCCTAGCAAGTGCAAGGCCCTGAATTCAAACCCCAGTACCACCAAAAAAACAAAGATTAATTGGTCCATGCAATAGAAAAACCATATTTTAAAAAAACATAGAGTAAATACTATTTTTTATCTAATGTTACCTGAGAAAGCCAGTAATAGGCTAGTTTCTAAAAACAAATGACCACACAGTTTGTAAAAACAAATGATCAGTCGTGTAGTTTCTGAGGTCACTGTCCTGGAGGCTTGGGTAGGTACAGCCATGTGGTGTGGGATCTTGGCTCCTCCTACTCAGCAAAATCACCCATCACCTTGAGATTCGCTCATGTTGTACCAATAATTCATTCCAAAGTCATTCCCTTTATTAGGGAAAATACATCATTCTTATTTGCATTTAATTCAGTCAGTAGAACAAATGACAAATGTATTTCCTTTGGTTTATTCAGACCAAATACAGAGAATGAAGGATGGGCCAGTTGAGAGTTTGGCCACACCAACATTGGAAGGATGCTGGCTTATTTGGGTCTTTAGAGGTGAGGTAAATCAGGTTTCCTAACCTGTGAAAGACCCACTTTAACTAAAATTTAGCCTGTTTAGGAGCCATCCTGAGGTCGTAGTTATCTGAAAAGTCCATATTCTTTACCATTGTGTTTTGCCACTGCCTACTAATCAAGTTAATATTAAAGAGACCTTTATGGTATATTTGGGAAACTGGAAAAAAAAGGAATGAAGCCAGTGGCTGATGCCTGAAGTCCTAGCTAATCAGAAGAAGGCAGAAATCAGGAGGATCATGGTCCAAAGCCAGCCCTAGTCAATTAGTTCAGGAGACCCTATCTTGAAAATGCACAACATGAAAAAAGGGCTGGCAGAGTGGCTCAGATGGCAGAGTGCCTGTCTAGCAAGTGTGAAGTCCTGAGTTCAAGCCCCAGTACCACCACCAAAAAAAAAAAAAATGAACCCAGATGAGGGTAATTAACACCTGTAATCCCAGCACCTGGGAGGCTGATGTAGTAGGATTACCAGGTTAACCACAGGCTTTGTAGCAAGACCCTGCCTCAAAAAAAAAAAGGGTATATGTCATTAAATAAGAAAGCTTGTTCTTTTGCTTTTGGGCTTTTGGTTTTACTAATAATAATTCTTGCACAGGTGGCCTCCATAAATAAAGGTTTAAGATCAAGGGATAGAAAAAAACTAGAATGCAGAGAAATTGAAACTGTCTTTCATAACATGGTGCTAGGTGGTTGTTAAGATAGAAGATATACCTACATGGTCTATTCTCTTGCATTAGCAAGTGATTTTTAGTGGTGGTTTTGTTTGGTTTGGTTTTTGGTTTATTTAGGTTGGTTTGGTTTGGTTTTTGCAGTACTAGAGTTTGAACTCAGGGTTTCATACTTGCTAGGCAGGTCTGCCACTCTAACCATGAACCCAGTCCTTTTTGCTTTAGTTATTTTTCCAGTAAAGTCTCATGTTATTGCCCAGACTGGCCTGGACCGCAATCTTCCTTATTTTACCTTCCTTGTAGCTGAAATGACAGGCACATGCCTCCACTCCCAGCTTACTGATTGAGCCCAGCCTAACTTTTTGGCTGGGCTGGACTTGAATTGCAGTCATACTGATCACTGCCTCCCAAGTATGTGGGACTATAGACATGAGCCATTGGGCCTGGCTAGCAAATGTTTTTAATGCTAAATAAACAAAATATGTTCCATAATGATAATGAGTTAATTTTTTTAAAAGGTAGGAATAAGCATGCATAGTGAGTGTATTAATGAAAAGGACTAAATGTACATAACCTCACTTGTCTTTGCTGTGATACTCTGTCTTCTGAGGTTTTGTACAATTCTTTTCTCCCACAGATATGCGGGGATTCATGACAGCACACGGACAGCCAGACCAACCTCGATCTGCACGCTATATCCTAAAGGATTATGTCAAGGCAAGTAAATCCTATTTATTATAGTTCTCTTGAGCTGGTGAAGTGGTTCAAGCAGTAATAGTGCATGCCTAGCCAGTGCAAGCCCTGAGTTTAAAACCTAGTGCCACCAAAAAGAGTCAGATAGCTCTCTTGAATAAGCAGGTTTTCTTAGCTAATGGCAACCTGTTAAGTTATAAAGAGATACTTTTCACTGAGTTGGCATTATAACTGGAGTTACTATTTTCTTAATTCAGGATGGTTATCATCGTATAGAAGTGACTGATAATGTTATGGGAGGAAAGATGAAGATCTCTGGACACCAGTAATCACTGAAAATTATTGATTTATGCATCTAGTTTTCTGTCTCCTATAGGCTTTTGCTTGTTTCCATTGTAACTGTTATCACAGTCTTCACTGTAGTATTGTCTGCATGCCTTTCTACCCATGCTTGTAGTAACAAAGAAGTGACAGCTAACACTTATATTCAAAGCTTTCTAACTTTTTTATATGTATCCCATTAAAAATACATAAGAAGGACTGGAAGTGGCTCAAGTAGAAGAGCAAGCTCAAGTCTCTGAGATCAATCTCCAGTACCACAAAAACAAGAGGACGGGAGTTGTAGCCCAGTGAGAGAGCACATGCTTAGCGTGTGCAGGCCCTAGATTCAGTCACCAGCATCACAAAAAATTAAAATAACAAGTCTAAGAAGTTATTATTCCTTTATTACCATTGAGAACCTGCTATTTGGGTTTTCCTTATGAGAAAAATAGAGATTAATAGTACCTAGCTCATGAAATTACGGGAAATACATGAAAACAAAGCATATAGGCATATATGTGTATGTATAATATCACCACACTCAGTGCCTAGCACATAATAGTGAGTGTATTAATGGAAAGGACTAAATGTACATAACATCAGTTGTCTTTGCCCCTAAGAATTGTTAGGTATTCCAGGTTCCTGGTAATAACTACTTGCAAGGGATTGGCTTTATTCCATCCTCAAGGCCACATCAATGAAATTCTTGGAGCATAAAATAAAAGTGGGAAGCCATATTGTCCTGACTACAGTCCAGAAAGACAGTAGTTAATACTATTCGTAAGGAAGATCATCTATTTGTTTTCCTTTTATTAAGTGTGGGCAATGAGTTAACAGTCACAGTTTTTAAAGCATTTATGGTGGAAAGAGGAACATACATGAGTTCAGGAGGTTTTTTTTTTCCTTTCTTTTTTTTTTTTTACAGTCCAAATGTTTACTAGGCAACTACTATACCACCTAGCTAAACCTCTGGCCCTTAAGAAGTCTTTTGCCGCTGCTATTGTTGAAAGAGCATCTCACTATGTAGCCCGTTTTGACCTTGAACTTTCAATCCTCCTGCCTAACCCTCCCCCTGACTCCCAGCTCCTTAAGAGCTATCTTAATTTTAGAATCCTAGCCTCAGTTCCCATTAGTTCTGTCATAATTGTTCACTTGTGTCCTGGTTTTTGTTTTGGAAAATACTTACCAGAAGTATAATCACAAAAGTGCACAGAAGAATACTTAGTAGAAATGCAAACAAAGTAAAAAAGAGCACAGAGGAAAAAAAAAAATCACAGTAGTCTCAAGCTCTGAACAAATTAGGTCTGTAGAGCTCTTGAAGGATCAGCATTGGTGTTTTTATTAGGACTCTTCACTTGCAGTGGACCAAAACTCAGTCAAAAGCGGAAAGCTCCCTCAACATGTGACTGGTTGACATGCGTCCTCTGACGACCTTTTCTCTCCTGGGTGACACACATGGCACTTACGATGGCACTCGTCATCTATGTTGTTTTTGTAGGGTAAGCTGCTATACTGCCATCCTCCTCCCGGAAGAGATCCTGTGACATTTCAGTATCAACACCAGCAACTCTTAGAGAACAAAGTGAATGGTGATGAAATAAAAATGCCAGGTGGAAATAAAAAAGCAAAACAGATTGAAAATGTAGTTGACAAAGCTTTCTTCCATCAAGTAAGTTTAAAAAGTCTTTAACTTCTGATCCAGTACATTCTTTGTAACAAGTAAATGTATTCACATTTCATACATCAGTATTTAAGTTTCCACACTGCCGTTTTTTAGACAAAATCTCACTGTGTAGCCCATGTCAACTTTGAACTCAATTTCACCAGCCTCACTGCCTCAGCTTCCTAAGTGTTGGGCTTATAGGCATGAACAACCATACCCAGCTCCACACACACCCTTTTACTATTCAGTAGTTTATAGTATATTCACAGAGTTGTGTGACCATCACTGCAATCAGTATAATTCATATATCTTCTTTTTTTTGGAATATAATTCATATATCTAAATTTTAGCCCTTAAGAATAACATTTTACTATTATACAAAGATTATGGAATACTGTTTTATACTTACAAATCATATTGGGTTAATTTTTTTTTAACTAAATACATTTAAAATTTCTTTAGAATTTGTGTCTAATGTGGTTTGAGATAGATTGAATGTCAAGGTAGAGTTTTCCAAAAAAACATCCAGTATTCTGTGTTTAGTTATAGATGTTGTGGATGGCATTCAAAGCCATAGGACTAAATGGAGTAGAGAAGGGAGGAGGGAAAATAGGTGAACTAAAGACAGAATGCCAGGAAGCTTAACATGGAAGGGATGGGGAGAGATAGAGACTTTGTCCTCCAGGAGAGGGCAGTCTTGAGTGATTTGCTCATGTTCACCTTGAAGTGCTCCTTAAACAATCTTAAACAATACTATGCTCCACGAGAGCCCAGGAGGTAGCCTGCTGACATCTCAAGCCACGTTTTCTCTTGTTTCCCAGGAGAATGTGCGAGCTTTGACCAAAGGAGTCCAGGCTGTGATGGGTTACAAGCCTGGGAGTGGCCTGGTGACTGCAAATATCACGAGCGCTGAGAACGGGACTGGGAAGCCCTGGAAGAAACATGGCAACAGAAATAAAAAGGAGAAAAGTCGTAGACTCTACAAGCATCTGGATATGTGAGCGTGGGCTGCAGCAGAAATGGCATCTGCACTGTGCTGATGGAGAAGAACAAAAGCTGCTGTTGGCCTGTGGAACTTTGCCAATACCCTAGCGTTGTAGAATGGACCCTGCTCTTGTGGAGAGCTCTTGACATCAAGACTGAGGGGCTCCCGGAAACACAGGCTCTGACCAAATAGTCATTAGGGGCCCCAGAAACCTAGTCCTATTGAAGGCTGAATTTAAGGTGAGGGAATAAATCATAAGTATTTGTTTGTGTAATCATATACACAAATGTATACTAATTTGTGAATAGAGGGATTGTTTTTAAAAAGTTGAGAATTAAATTGCTATGTTTCTGTTGGTCTAAGTAAATAAACTACTATTTGGACATTCCACATTCTTTTAAGTTTTAATTTGCTAAAACATGACTGGGATTTTAGATGGATTCTTTTGAGGACATTATTTTGATTCATTCTCAACCTCACCCACACGCATTCAGCACACCCCTAAAATAGCAGAGGGCTGAGGGGACTGGCATGGGAAGTTCAAAAAGCTCCTGGAGCATCACCTTCCATGTGGAAATCCCCATCACCAAAGCTCGCCCATTTGAAAAGACCCACAAGTGAGTGAGAAGAGGCAGCTCATCGGCTACTTTTTTACTTTAGTCATAGGGATCGCTGATGTCATTAGTACCTAAGTACTCTGTACTTAGTGTCAGGAGTGAGGCAGGGCACTTTACCTTCCACATCACATTCTTCATAATGCTCTTTCAGCCTCTGAGTCTTGTTATTCCTTCAACTCAGGTCTTTAATCTTATTTTATATCCTAGGTGTTTTGGGGGAATGCTCCAGAAAAAATGCATTCCAATATACATAGGATAATGTGCATTATGTCAGACAATTCACTGACAGCTCTGGTTGATCCATAAATTCATAGTTAAGAAGTCCTTCCTTTGACTGTATTGCCTTAGTGCACATAACAATTCAATAGTGGACTGCAGTTACAGGGGTGGTCCCTTAAAATACCATCTACTCCAGCATGTATGAGGCCCTGGGTTCAATTCCCCAGTACACACACACACACACACAAAATACTGCTACCCACAGCTTGGCGTCTTAATTTAAATAAGCACATTCTAATGTTCGTACAACCATGAAATCAGCTAACAATGCCTTCCCATCATTAAGCAGTGTATAGCTGTACTTAAGACATGTCATACCCAGCAAAAATGTTATTCCAGGGAATTATGTTTATTCATCCATTTAACAAATGTTTATTGACCAGCCACCTTGTGACTGGAAGGTAATCCGGAAAATGACCCACAACTAAGGAGGGCTCTGAAGCAGGAGGGAATGCTAGTCTGGAAGTTAGGAAGGACCAAATCATATGGAGTCTTGGAATCTATGAAGGAATTCCAGGTATTTTCTGAAAAATGAGATCAGCTAACAAGTTACACAAGTAATCAATGACACATTCTAATTCTTATTTAAGCGGTGAAGTCAGGCAATGCAAATCTGTAATCCCAATATTCAGAGACTGAGGCAGGAGGATGGTGAGTTCCAAACCTGCCTGTCAAAAAAACAGGTAAAAGTGTTTTCCACATCAAGGCTGACATAGATGTAAAGAAAGCAAAGATGAAGTACTATTTATCTCCTGTAACATCCCTCCAGTCATTCCCTTTTATTTGAGAAAAGTAAGGCAGCATAAAAAGTTCATGATAGAAGGGGAACAAGTGCTGGAGTAATGGTAGAGCAGGTGTTTAGCATGGGCAAGACACTGGGTTTAAAGTCAACCAAAAAAAAAAAAAAAAAAGTGGAATGTGAAAACACTGATTCATTTACTGAAGAATAGGCAGACACATATGGCAGCAATCTTTAGACTGAATGGACAGAGCATATGCTTCCTTGGAGTAAGTTTTGCTTGTGTAACAATTTCATTGAGATGTGATTTATATAGCATACAATTCATCAATGTAAAGCAGAGAATTAAGTGGTTTCAGCATATTCACAGAGTTGTTCAACCACTGCAATCAATTGTACAACTTTTTTTTTCTTTTTTTTTTGCAATACTGGGGTTTGAACTCAGGGCCTCACACTTGCTAGGCAGGTGCTCTAACACAAGCACATCCCCAGCTGTACAACATTTTTATCAACCCAAAAGGAGTCCATACTGTGTAGCCATGGTCCTCAGCATTCCTGCTACTCCAGCTCTAATCAAGCACTAATCTACTTCGTGTAGACGTAAGTTGCCTATTCAGGACATTTCATACAAATGAACTACAATAAGGATGGGGGCCCATCAGTCACCTCTGCTTTCCTGTCACTGGGTTCATTCTACATGTCTCTCCCTCAAAAGATCCTAGTGTGGCTAGCAGAGTGGCTCAAGCAGTAGAGTGCCTGCCTAGCAAGCGTGAAGCCCTGAGTTCAAGCCCTAGTACTGCCAAAAAAAAGATCCTAGTATAAGTGAGCCCCAGATACCCATAGCTGGCACCACTTCATTAACTCACCCTTCATCACTCTTCTTTTCCTCTTTCCACTCCCTGGAGTTACCTCCCCAATAAAGTGACTAAACCTAATCTTTGCTTAGCGCTGAGGAGTCCAAGGACATCCTAATTGGGGAATTTCTATTTTCATCTTTGCTTCTACCCAGGATCTATCTCATTAAGCACTCCTCACCATTTCCTTTCAGGTATTCCCATCTTGTTGGGGAGTTTTATAATCTAGGCTTATGAATTAGTCATTATCATTATCATTTTTCACCATTGTGTTACAAGGAATGCACTGCCCTTTACAGATGCTGTACATCTGTCATCTGTTTACTTTCAGGAAATTAAAAGGACATTAAGGTTCTTGTCAGGAAGCCAAGAGCCACATATGTTTCTTGGAGGGTAAACTGGGAAATGTGGAAGCAGGCCAGAAATCTAAGTGCCACCTTGTATCTTCAGTCTCTGAAGTGAGGAAAGTAATTTTTGCCCCTGGTACCCGATTGCTGCTGTATTGTGTACACCACACCGTATCCAGTTGAAGATGAAGAAAACATACTGGAAGGAAAGATTTTGCTTCCCATAGACTCCCAGGTATGAAGGGAAAACATTTTTGAACATTCTATAAGAAATGGCAATGTATAAGTAAAAAGTACAAAACACTCTGAATTCTAAATGTTTTATTGAAGTGTGCTGTGTACAGAAAGTGCACACACAAGTCACAAGTGTGCAGACAGCAAATTTCACAAGCAACACACTGATGCAACCAGTGCACAGAACCTGACCAGCACCCCAGACACCCACTTTGTGCTTCCTTTCAGCCACTATCCACCCTCCCAAGTATGGCCACTCTCTGACCTTTTCCCCTGTGTATGGCAGATAAACAGAATCTGCGGTGTGCATTCTTATGTATCTGGCTTCCTTAACCCAGCATTGTGACACTCCCCTGTACTGGGTTTGTTGTTTCTCTTTTCCTTAATTCATTTTTTCACATGTGCATACTTTGTCCCTTGTACAGTTAAGTGTAGTAAATAGCAGAGCATTCATTTTCATTGTTGTACAGTATTATATGCCTAAGTCCTAGGTTTTGTTGTGTTTCAAAATGGTAGTGGAGAGGTCTTGGTATGTAGCCCAGGTTGGCTTTGAACTCATGATCCTCCTGCTCTAGCTTCTCGAGTGTTGGGATTACAGACACGCATCACCACACCTGGCTCCAGGCTTGGGTTTTCAGCACCTGTGTGGGTGCTCTAATACAGTGCTGACCTTACCAATAGAACTTTCTGTTATAATAGAAGCGTTCTGTGATCTGTGCTGTCCAATAGGTACCTATAGCCATATGTGGCTATTGGACACTTGAAATGTGGCTAGTGTGATTCAGAGGGACTGAATTTTGATTTACATTTCAATACAAGCAGCTACCTGTGGCTCCTGGCTACCTATGTGGCATTAATGAACACTCTGCATTTCTGCTGGGTACATATCCAGAAGGAGGATGGCAAAGTCATTAGGTATGCATACATCAGCACAGAAGACACTCATTCCTTCCCGTCTATGTGACTCTCTATAGGAAATATGAAGTGACATATATACCTCTCCAGCATTCTTAATTATAGAGGCTGAGAATTTTGTTTTCATAGGCTTGCCTGGATATTCCAGACTGTGGCCATCATGGGGCAGCTGTGCCAAGATACACGGGGTTGTCAGGTATCTGATTAGAGGGAGCTCTCCCTCCTAAGCCAGTGGATCTGAACAGCACTTGACTTAGAAAGCAGAGAGACCCTCTGGGCTTCTTCCACTTGTTTAACTGGGGAATGAAGACATGGTGGGGGGCGGGTAGGAGTAGGTGAGGGTTCCTACATTAAACTGGAAATAAGTGCAGATTTACATTATCCTTTTGCTCTCGTCATTAAGGTGTAGGTAGAATCCCCCGGTCTCTTGCTGGTGAGACTGGGGGTCCGGGCTCCTCAGTAGAGTGTCTGGGGCCCAGAGTGTGGTCCGAGTGTCTTTTCCCTGCTCCAACGGTATCCAGCTCCTGAACAAGCAGATCCTAAGAGGTGCTCCGTGTTGTTCAGCGCTACTCCTGAGCCAGGGGAAACTGGTAACATCTCTTCTGAGTCCTCAGCAGTCACAGAGGACAGCTAGAAATGCAACTAGCTACACCAATGTAAAGGTAAATATGTCCTTTGCTCATTTTCTCTTCTTCCTCTCAGCCTCTTATTTTCACTATGATTTTTTAAAAAATTTTAAGATACAGTCTCACTATGTCTATGTAGTCCAGGCTGGTCTCAAATTGGGATCCTCTTGCATTCACCTCCCAAGTACTTGGATTACATGCATGTGCCACCACACTCAGCTCTTCTGTATTCTTTGTCTAAATTACTAAATGTAAAGAGTGGTTACCATAATTTTTACAGCACACAACTAGCTCTGATGAACCCTTCCAGGAAAGAACCAAAACCAAACAAGTTGGCTTCTGTATTCAAAATAACTTAGCTGCCTGGACTATGGTTGTATTGATTTGGAAGCAGCAGCAACTAACGGAGAAATATTTTAGAGAATAATTTTGAAAAGTGCTTTTCAAAAAACAAAAAAGAGAGAGATTTTAGCCTTTTGTTTGGGTACTTGCTCTCATTTTTCCAATTGAAATGGGATTGCAAGACAAAGTTCTAGATAGAACCCAGGACCCCAACAGTCTTACCACCTGCTTCAATCATGACACCCCAGCATGTCCACAATGGGCTTGATTAAGATCTAAAAATGCTATTACTGCAAGATCTGTTCTCTTAGAGCTGCTTTCTGCATAGCAGGGAAGCCAGACTAATGGAAAAGTTTTGTTTTTGTTTTCATCAA